GTGGGCTCAGGACCATAGTCTCAGGGGACATCAAGCTCAATTGGCATAACATACTACACAAAACATTGTTCCACTTCATATACTTTGGCAAGTATCTTAAAAGCTTTCAAGCAGCTATCTAGATGCAACAATGGGTCTCTCCTCGTCCAGAGCAAAGAAGAATGAAGAAAACCAAAGATTCATGGAAACAATTAGTCCTAGTGACTGGTACACCATGCAATCCTCAGCCTATAAACTATGAGACCAGAAGAACTATGAGACGGCTCCCACCATCAACCACTCGGAAAAGGATCTAGATAGGAGATCCTGGATAGAGAGGAAGGACAATGTGGAACAAAACTCAAAATCATTTGGGGGGGAAAAAAAAGAGGGGGAGGTGGACCAGGTTTGCTGGTATGATAGAGCCTGGTGGAACCGGTGAGACTATGGCCCCTAGCTGCCCTTCAAGTCTGGAATTGAACCCACACCTGTGGCTTCCAGCCAAACAAAAGACAGGCATATGAGCTGAACATTTACACTAGGTAGAAACACTCCTTGGACATACCAATCATTGGAGAATAGAAGGGCTGTGTATGCACAGGGAGATAGCTCAGGGGGCAGGAGTGCATGAAGGGATGGACACAGGGAAGGGGTAACTATTGGGAGGAAGTGGGAGGGGAGCTGTTGCATTGGGGTAAATTATAGTCAATGTCATGAGACAAAGTGTATGCAAACTACTGTACGGCAAGTGAATTTGCTCTGTAAATTTTCACACAAATCAGAATTAAAAAAAAAATTTTCTGCACAATGGGTAGGACCATGGAAGTACTTTACTTAGGGCATCATGAACAGGAAATTAAAATCACAATTGCTCTAAAGAGGTTCATTTAAATAAAAGCCAGCCAGGAAACTCCAAGGATAAGAAGTAAATCTTTTTTTTCCCACCCCCGTATCCCTGGCAAAAAGTCATTAATTGTTCATTAGGAGGGTATCCTATAATCTCCTCATCAACCATATGGGAGCTATTTGTCTATGGGTACAATTTTGTCAGAGTTTTATTTAATAGAATTTCACCATCACCCTTAAGACTTTTTATTTCCTATGTGTGCAGATAGGATTGAATTCTAGGCTTTTTAATGTGACATTTATTTATTCATTAAGTGTGACATGTTTGTCACTGAATATAAAGTACTCAGGCAGAAAAAAAACCCTTTGTCAATTCTCCTGTTGTTTGTTCAATGAACGAACTCCATTAAGGAATGCCTTATTATCCAGCACATATTTTACGTGAAAATTGTATCTACTCACATTATAGCTAAGAATATGGAAGGGTGAAGACACATAGTATGCATACATGGAAATTTAAACACTTTATTTCTATTAGTCTACACCCTGAGAACATACATATTTAAATGTGAGATATAATTTTATTAACTAGAGTGGAAACTACAAATAAGGAGCTAGGTGAGCGTGGAAGAGGAGGTATGGGAGTATGGAGAGTAGATAGGAGAGGAAGAAGTGACAGCTGTCAACAGCAGAAGAGCTATAAGAAAAATAATGAAATAATGGTGCAATATATCTAAAATTAAGGAGCTCTGGTGACACAGTGGTCAAGGCATTTGGCTGCTAACCAGAAGGTTGGCAGTTCAAACCCCCACTAGCTGTTCCTGTAGGAGGAAGATAAGGCAATTTACTTCTGTAAAGATTTACAGCCTTAGAAACCCTGTGGGTTTCTAAGTTGGAATTGACTCAATTGGAGTGGGTTTTGATTTGGGTTTTATATATCTAAGAATATAGCCAAATGGTGTCATTTAATATTGTTGTTGTGTAGTGTCAAGTCAATTCCAATTCCTAGTGACCCTATAGAACAGAGCAGAATGGCCCCATAGGGTCTTTTCTCTGCAGAACATCTGGTGTGTTTGACTGTTGAACTTTTGGTTAGTAGCTGAGCAGTTAACCATTGAGCCACCAGAGCTCCTTTCATTTAATATTCCATTGTCATCACGTCAATTCTGACTCATAGCAACCCTATGTTGTGTGTTGCTGTTATGTGCTGTCGAGTCACCTCTGACTCACAGGAACCCCTCCTTGGGTTTCCAAGGCAGTATCACTATGGAAGTAGATTGCCCCATTTTCCTTCTGAGGAGTGGCTGGTGGGTTTGAACTGCCAACCTTCTGGTTAGCAGTCAAGTGCCTTAGGTACTACGCCACCAGAGCTCCAGCAACCCTATAGGGTGACATAATCTTCCAGATCTTTTAGTCATTAAGCATATCACTCTGTTATAACACTTTGTAATAATTGCTGGTTATAACATGACCTTGAGAATCACAAGAAGGTTACAGTATTTTTAGTATACTTGGAGATATAAAATGAATAATACATTTAAAATTATTTAAAAAAAAAAAAAAAACCCAACATTTTGAAACTTTATCTGGTAGGTACACTAAAATAAGTGCCACATGAAGAAAGGAAAGGACATCAGAACAGCTGGGCAGGGTAGCCATGTGATGTATGTCCCGGGCAGTTCAGGCACTATTTATCAGGACAATGTCACATTATATCATGATCATTTGTGTATGTTGTTGTCTTTGCAGTTACATAGGGAGTGCCCCAAATTGTGGGACTACATCTTGAATATGTATATTTTAAATTTTCATTTTATTTATTTTGTTGTTGTTGAGAAAACACACAGCAAAATGTACACCAATTCAACAATTTCTACATGTACAATTCAGTGACATTGATTACAATCTTCTACTTCTGCAACCTTTCTACCCTCCTTTTTTGCGTTGTTCCTCCCCCATTAACATAAACTCTCTGCTCCCTAAGGTTCCTATCTGCCTAAGGCATCTGACTGCTAACCAGAAGTCTGGCAGTTCAAACCCACCAGCCACTCCTCAGAAGGAAGACTGGGCAATCTACTTCCATAGAGACACCACTGTGGAAACCCAAGGAGGGGTCACCATGAGTAGGATTTGACTCAACTGCAGTGAGGTTTTTTTTTATTGTCAATTTGATCCCATATGAGATCTTAAAACAACACAATGCTCAAGGTAGACATTTTTTTACTAGTTAAGGTAAGCTTTTGTTTGGTTTTAAGACTTCAGGGCATATTTTTGGTTTACGGTTTAAAGATTGCCTCAGTGCAACAGTTTCAAGGATTCACATCATGTCTAGTTTTGAAGCCTCCTTTCTCAAAAGAGTATTGAATCCAAAGAAACAGTCTCTAGGGACCACATCCAGTAAGGGAAAATAGGAACTATAGATCTGTCACAATGACTAAAAGTTTTGCAGAATGTTTTAACAGCTTGCAACTTCCTCAATGTGTTGTTTGAATTTTCTCTGTTTTACAGTTATAATCAGCAGAGAAACTCAACTCCACAGGGCCTATTTTCCTATTTAGGGGTGAATTTTCACACAAAAGGTGGAGATCTTGTATGCCTTTCCACATCTATTGTCTATGGAAGAGGACACAGAAGGAGTAGATAGGTTGAGGCAGGTTTAGGACAGAACTTTGGGGGCTTTTGTGATTTGGTCTGGAAGTCTCTTTCTAGCCCCACATCTCTCCATGATCTGCTTGCTTTCTACTTTGTTAAACTGAAATTTAATCAGTATCCATGTTTCCATACTTTCACATGGAGAAGAAAGCACATTTCCTCCACCTGCCCTTAGCAAGTAAATAGTTAGGACTTCTTTACTCTTCTGAGCTTCTATACAGTGATGGAAAAATAGGATCCACATTCAGCTAATTAATTCTGTAAAGGGCAGTGAAGACTGATGATGATACTTTTTATGGACTGGATTGTGTCTTCCAAAAAAGATATATTTAAGTTCTAGCCATTGTACCAGTGAATGAGACTTTGTTTTGGGGAATAGGGTTTTTCTATGTAGGCATTTAACTAGATCACACTGGAGTAGTAGGGTGTGTCCTAATGTTAATCCCTTCTGAGTGAGGTCTGTTGTAACAGAGAATGATAGGCATGGAAATAGGGAGAAGACAGCATTTGAGGATTCACCTACAAGTCAAGGAATACCTGGGAATGCCAGATGACAAAAGAGATAAGGAAGGATCTTTCCCCAGAGCAGAAACAGAATATATCTCTGGCAAACCCCTGAATTTGGACTTCTAGGAGCTCTGGTAGCGTAGTGCCTAAGGCACTTGACTGCTAACCAGAAGCCTGGCAGTTCAAACCCACCAGCCACTCCTCGGAAGGAAGATGGGGCAATCTACTTCCGTAGTGATACTGCCTTGGAAACCCAAGGAGGGGTTGCTTTGAGTCGGGTCCGACTCGACGGCACATAACAGCAACAACAACAACAGCCTCCAAAGCTAGGAGAAAACAAATTTCTGTTCGTTAAGCCACCCACAATGTGGTAGTTTGTTATGGCAGCCCTAGGAAACTAAAACAATGTTAGCAATAATAACAGCTGATGTTATTAAGCACATACCATAGATTGTGCTGGGACCTCTAGTGGCCTAGTGTCTAAGGCATTTGACTGCTAACCAGAAGGTTGGAGGTTCAAACCCACAAACTACTCCTCCGAAGGAAAGTTGGGCAATCTACTTCTGTAGTGATACCACCTTGGAAACCCAAGGAGGGTTTGCTATAAGTCGGACCTGACTTGATGGCAGTGAGTTATAGACTGTGCTAAGCATATTACATGCATAATCTCACTTAACCTTCATGATGATGGGCCATATTATATTCCCATTTTTAAGATGAGGAACAAGGTGTAAATAAGAGGTTAAGTTGGGTAGCTAAGCATATGGTGGAAATGGAGTTTAAGTCAAGTAATCTGACTCGAGAGCTAGTGTCTTAACCATTAATTTTAGGTAATAACTCTTAGTTATTCACATAATTCTTACATAAAAACAAAAATTTTTAAATGGTAGCTCTTTGTTTTGAAGGTGTTAATGTCCAAAAGCAAAGAGAAATTCTTTCCTCTAACATTTTTATGGAACAAAATAAAATAAAAACTGCTGGAGAGATCATAGAAACACAAGAAAATAAACACATACTTGCAAAATGCGGTCCCCTTCTCGAATCCGGCCATCTTTGGCAGCAATGCTATTTGGATCCACCTGTAATAGAGAAGACATATATTTTCAACTGACAATGCAGTTATCTCTTATTCCCTGCAAAAAAAAAAAACTTAAAACATGGTCCAAAAAGTACATTTTTAGAAACCTGGTTCAAAATCCTCCTTTGATTTGTGACAGAGTATAAATCAGACTTTGTTCTGTTAAAAAATCACTGATCCTAAGAGTAAGAGTAAGAGAATTAACAATGATAAAATTGAAGAATGCTAGGGCAGAATTTTATTTGAAAGCCCTTTTTTCTTTCCTTCTTCCTTTTATTCCCATTCATTAGTTCATTTTTGTCTCCTAATTGTCAGACATGGTCTTCAGCTGATTTAGGATGATGTTAATATTAGGATTCTCTAGACATAGGAAATTTACTTTCTACTAAGGTGAGTTTTAAATCCTACCTTAGCAGTCCTAGAAAAGCTGATAGCTATATTATAAGTCCATACTTATTCAAGGGATTTCTGTCTCATGATCACATTAATATATGAAGAAATTTCTACTTCTGCAGTGATACTGCCTTGGAAACCCAAGGAGGGGTCACTATGAGTCAGGTCTGACTTGACGGCACATAACAAGAACAACATACCATAAGAAATACACAAAAAACAAGAAACTGAAGATTATTCCTAGGCAACAGTTTACATAAAGGGTTAAATGTGTTAACTATAAATTATTTAGTATAAATAGATATTTAACAGCTTATCAAAATTTTTGTGGGCCAAACTTGACCAATGACTTAGAGTTCACTGAGGTTAATTTCACCTATCACATTCCTCTTGAGGTCTTTGAACCACTGATTTAGGCTTGTTCCATCAAAGCATTTTTTCAAGCAAAGTATTTTAACTATAGCATGATGCTGCCTCATTCTAGCTAGAAGTTAGATATTACTCTCTTACTGGGTGGCACCACGAAATAGATGAGTCTTAAGTGATTAATTAAGAACAAAAGACACTATAATTATATATAAATGGTAAAAGGAAAATATCCCTCCCAAATACATATACTCAGTTTTTTATTTTTTTAACTTCCCTGAAAAGTGAGGTCCAAATCTTGCCAATTTAAATAGTAAATTAAACACTTAATAGAAGGAAATGAGGAATGATTAATCAATTGTATTCTATTTAGAAGTCATCACAATCTAAAATTTATCTTTCAGAACTGTAATCAAATATTAAACTCCTATGTTTCTACCTTGGTACATATTATAAAAGACAATTCAGCTGATGATCCTCTTACCTCTCCCCTGCCTCTGATTATCACAGTTGCTCATTTAGAAGAGTTATAAATCAACTATTCTCGGGAGAGATTTAATTGCAAGAACCAGTCAATTATTTCTTTGGTAAAGTGACAAAGAATAACATTTTACATTTAGACAGCAGTATAGTTTTCCATGTCTGTTAGATACATTTTCTCTTCCATATGCTAAACAACTCTGTTGTTGTTAGTTGCATTGGAGATAGTCCCTGAGATAGTTGGGGTTGTGTGTCAACTTGGCTGGACCACGATTCTGAGTGGTTTAAGCAGTTGTGATGTGGTTATTTCCATGATGAGATCTGATGTATATGCTGTGAGCAGGCAATCAGTTGAAAGGGAGTTTCCTTAGGGGTATGGCCTACTTCCAATATATATGTGCACTTCCTGGGAAAATTTGGAAAACCTTCTGTGGCTCTGGATCTTGTTGTGCTGCCTAAAACTGTCTGTGAGTGAAGAATCCACCATTCTGCCTGGTAATCTTGGATTCATCATCTGCAGAAGTCAATAGCTGATATACTGCCTGCCAACCTTGAGCCCATCAGCCCCTGAAGCTGTGTGAGTTGGGAAAAGCCTCCATCCATCTTGACATTTGATCCAGCAATTTGGGACTTGCCAGCCTCCATAACTGTGTGAGCCATTTTCCTAAGATAAATTTTTCTCTCTCTCTATGTAAGCTTACTGTTTTTGCTTCCCTAGAGAACCCAGTCTAACACAGCCCCTGTTTTATCAGTTGCAGATTGCACCATTGTGATCCACTGGGTTTTCATTGGCTGGTTTTTGGAAGCTAATTAGCAGGACTTTCTTCCTTCTCTGTCTTGTGGAAGCTCTGATCAAGCCTGTTCCTCATCATGGCAACACATAGCCTCCACTGACAAATGATGGTAGCTGTGCATGAGGCACACTGGCCGGAATAGAAGCCGAATCTCCCTCATGGAAGGTTAGAATTCTACTTCTGAACCACCAATGCCTCACGAAAAAACAAAACAAAACAACTCTATGCAACCAATGAAACAAGCATTGGTATACTAACTTTCCAGTCGAGTAAACAGAGGCTCAGCAAGTTAGGTATTTTTTTTCAAGGTGGTAGCAAGAAGGCTTGGAATAGCATGAAACAGCAATTTACAACTAATTTCTAAGTCCTACTTTGATATATTAAATATAAAATATTCGTTTGGGAGTTTTCAAAAAATTACTTATGATAATACATTTATTTCACAAAGTCACTGACACCAAGAGCATCTCATATTTAAATACCTCCCTTCCTGAAAGTGATTATGGGATCGAATGGAAAAAAACTAATAGATGCATTCCTTGTGTATTCAAATTCATGAATCCCGTCAGCAGAGTAAATTATGTGAATATTGTGAAGATTAGATTAAAACAGTTGTTGTTTTTGTTATGTGCTGTCAAGTCAGACCCGACTCATAGCAACTTCTCCTTGGGTTTCCGAGGCAGTATCCCTACGAAAGTAGATTGCCCAACCTTCTTTCCGAGGAGTGGCTGGTGGGTTTGAACTGCCAGCCTTCTGGTTAGCAGTCAAGTACCTTAGGCACTATGCTACCTGAGCTCCTATTAGCTAATGTTATTGTTAACAGAACTGAAATAAGACATAGTGGAATGGAGGGAGAAAATATTTGCTGATCAAAAACTCTGCTCAACTTTCTGGACCCTTATGGGAATTTATTTAAATTTAGATAATGTTACCACTTTGATAAGTTCCTTAGTGGGATTCTGTGGTGAAAGCATCCACATTAAACAAGCTGATAATAATTACATTACTTGGGCAACATAATTTACTTTCCTAATTGAAAGTGACAAGTATTGGAACATGGCCAATTCTTCACATTCAAGCCTCTGAAGGATATTCTCATTGTGAGTCATTTCACTCCATTCCTCGCAGTCTCTCTCCTTAATCCCCCTCCACGGATTTCTTACCTCACTGACATAAATGCCGGTGTCTTCTTCATCATCCGTTCGGTAACAGACTGTCAGGCCTAGCTTCTCTTGACTGCTAACACGGCACAACTCGACCTCCTGAGAGAACACACACAGAGAACGACATTTATCTCAGAGCGGAATCCCCCAGCAAAATGAACTCACTGATATTCTTTGGTTACTTCATGGAAAGGTTTTGTGATTATTGTCCAACATTTGAAATTAGCATGTGCTACCAAAAAGCTAATTCATTAAAATTAAAAGTATATTCTTGTATTCTCAAAAGCCAGTGTTTTAAAGTTAGAGATACATACTACATAAAATATGTATACATAAAATATGTATAAATTGATAAACTGGATCAATAAAATGTGTGAGAATGTTAAAGTAGATGGTAAAATGTTCATAAAAATATTGAGGCACTATATTTTTATTTGTGCTTTAGTAAAACTTAAAATAAAGGCCAAACACAAATAAAAATATACCGGATTTTCTTTATCAATTTGTCTTTTGAGTTCTATACAATATGATAATAAGCATATATTTTGTGTAGCTCAAGCCAAGATTTCCTATTATTTTGTAGAAGCTCTTGCCCTTAGAAAGAAATGGGTTCATTCAGGCTGAAGGGAGAGACATCAACAACCATACGGGGTAAAGGCAATGATTCAAAATGTAGCAGTAAATGAACAAGGAAACACATTTACTGAAACACATGGCTAAGGGGCTTGAAATGTCAGTCTTAGGTAATATATGTTGAATTCATTGCTTGATTTATGTTCAGGAAAATAATAATAAATTTCAGTGTACTTCATTTTTATATAATGAAATTGACTTGTACTACTTTCAGAAGCAGATGACATCAGGATAAATACATCACATAATTTCAAGCAGTAAAACACAAATTGGTGCTCTAATCACCTCCATACTGGATGGAGAATACAGGGCTGTTTAGTAAATTATCAGATGAGAAAGAATAAAGTAATTTAATCTGGAGGTGAGGTCTAGACCACATTTCTAGAATGTAGGCTCCATGGGAGGCACAAATTTCTCTGTTTTGCTTATTGCTCTTTCTCCAGTGATTAGCTCAGGGAGAGTCTCAGTGTGGGGCACTCAGTAAATAGTGGTTGAAGGATGATTACTTCTATTTAGAAATATTTCCTATTGTACATAGATTTTGTATTTAAGCAGTCTTTCTTCTTTGACTGGAGATAGAGTTTGTGTATGTATGTGTGAGTGAAAAGAAGATTTTGCAATTCTATAATAATAAAATACCCATTTAACTGTCTAAGATTTGAAATAGTTACCGATACTAATGAAAGAAAAATTCACTTATATTCAAACAATAGAATATTTTCCAGAACACTGTACTATAGTTGAAGAAGCCCCCCCACCCCCACCCCCCGGCCTTAATTTTGTATTTCAGTCATTGGATAATAACCCTTTAGTTTAATGATATGCTATAAACATATCATTCTACAGGTAAATCTATAGCAATTGTGGACTATCACAAGCTCCTGTGACCAATAACTTCACAGCTAATAGCAAATAAAATGAAGTTTAAACCCATTATCTTGAGACATGTACTGCAAATTGGTGAAATACATGAAACCAGGAAGAATGCTGACTTGCTGACTGGTGGGCAAAGATTGTCTAAATTACACTGCAGTGGTTAAAAAGGGCATCCACGGGCATGCTGAACAGTAATGAAAAAATGGGAAAAATTCTTTCACCCAGAGGAAGAATAAGAAATGATGACATGAGTTGGCACTGGATGTAGAAATATACACACCAAGCCAGGGTCATTTCAAAACTGGCAATAATTAATGCTTCCAGGGGGAAAGAATACTTGACTAAAACTGGAACATTAGGAAGGAATTACAGCAACAAAACAGCTTCAATTACACCAACAAGGTATACAGTTAAGGAGTAAAGAAGCTTGTGATTCCTAAGAGGCCTATAAGAAAACCTAAACACTCCATAAAGAACTGAGAGTGGGACCTTTAAATCAAGGCAAATGAGGAGCTGTAGTCAAAGCCGAAATCCATTGACTTACAATGTCCTGTCGATGGCACTAGAGAAACTCCCTATGCTGTGGGAAGTCATTTTCAATGAGGACTGCCTTTGTGTGTATTTTCTCCACATTCTCAATTGTGTATTGTGACTTTGGTGTTTATTTAGAAGATGCATATAAACAAATGTTGCAATAAAATTGAATATATCTATTAAAAGGAAAAGGATCAGACTTCAATACCACAAATTAAGGCATTTACTCGAGGCCTCACAGGGGAAAAGAAACTAAGATCCTGAGATTAAAATGGTTTTCAATATTGCCATGGTACTGGATGTAGGCAAAACTGAAATAAGTCAAAGTTATTTGCAGTGTCTGTCTTTTCTAAATCCCACCCTCAACCTTTTTAAAGCCAATGAAAACCCTCATATTTCCTTTTAGCTGCCCAGAGTTCCTGAAGTATGCCCTTCCAGGTTGTCACTGAAATTTTAGTCTTGCCATTTTATCTCTTCCCTAGCAAAATCTGGCATTTGATGTGGGCTTCCATTCATTCATAAGTAGCCCTGAAGTCATAAAGATCATTGATAAATAATTTTCTCTTAAAAGGATCATCATTAATAATTACTTCAAATATGACCCACTTAGGATTTAGTTCAGAAGCTCTGGTAGCGTAATGCCTAAGGCACTTGACCGCTAACCAGAAGCTGGGCAGTTCAAACCCACCAGCCACTCCTCAGAAGGAAGGCTGGGCAATCTACTTCCATAGTGATGTCGCCTTGGAAACCCAAGGAGGGGTTGCTGTGAGTCAGGGCCGACTCGAAGGCACATAACAACAACAACAACAACAGGGCTTAGTTCAAATTAGTAACAGCTGCAAATATGAAGCTTTAATTCCAAGGGCTGAACTTCTTAGCAGTGGGATGTTAGGCACTGAAGGATCTTCTGGGTCCCACAAACTGCCTAAGACCAGTCCCAAGTGTGAACTTGCATTTCTTTCTTTGGTTGAAAATGTCTCAGACACTACATATTTCATCCTGGTACACAGAAGCACAATTTTAGCATCAAAGTTTCCTTAATTTTATGTCAAAATAACTTACAAGCAGCTACCTGTAGAACATTTTGTTTATATGAGGCAAAGGTGGCTTTGCAAAGACTGATTATCTGATAGGAATTCTCTAGCAGAAGTTTAATTAAGTATTCCCTTCATAGCACACACAAACCTCTGACTTCTGAAGAAACAACCTCTTGGTAATAGAAGATGTTTTCCCTAACAACTTTCATACCTTTCCCTCTGTCACTTGGAAGCTGTTTGATGAAAAACATAAAAGTGAAATGCTACCTCTGTACAATTTCTCCATGGAGACAATTCACAGGTGTATACAAATCAAAGCCAAACCCTCACAGATAGCAGTGCTAACCATCTATAAGTCATGTGTGACTGGAGTGAAGGAATCACTTCATATACCTAGTGAAAACGATATTAATTTTAGTTTAAATATGCTTTAAGAGGCTATGTTCTGGAAAAGTATGTAAGCTTTTTTTTTTTTTTTTTTAAATCAAACCACAGTATGTGAGAAATTGATTATATGTAGACTGAGGAAGTAGTAGAAGATTAAAGTTAGTAAAGCTTGCTGGGAAACATCCTTCTAATCATAGAATGACAAGAATGGGATTTTTACATAAATCATTTGCTCTACAGGGCTATGAAATTTTTATATATTTTATGATTAGCTCTAGGGAGGAATAAGAAAATTAAAAGGAAAAAAAGACATTTTTGCTTTCTAAATGAAGGACTCTCTTGTTAGAAGGAGAACCGAGGCTTTACACCTCCTGCAATGGCTTTGCAAGCTGCATTGTTCCCACAACTCTAAAGAACTCTGAGGATTTTGTTGTTCAAGCAAGAAACGTCAGAGGCAGCTGGTACTACTCAAGTCTGAAGAACAACTAGGGCTCCAGAGTATTTCAGGCTCAAACACCTCAACCCCAAACATTCCATAATAAGTTGCTTCCAGTAGTAACTAAAGCTCATTTCTATAGAACCACTAGGGTAAATGCCGAAGCATATGGCAATATCCTTTCCACTGACACATCCTTAACCTCAACTCCTTTTACAACAACTTTTTCTCCCAGTGTTACTGTTGTGAAAGTGGCCAGCTTTGTATACTTTCTGGGGTCTTTTTGAAATAAAGCAGTTAGAATTTTCCATATGCACGTTGGCTGTTTCTCTCTATGGATTCTGAATCACCTTAAACCAAAGCCAAACCCAATGTAGTCTAGTTGACTGCAACTCAAAGTGATCCTTAAAGACAGAATAGGATGGCCCCACAGGGTTTCCAAGGCTTTAACATTTACAGAAGCAGACTGAGTCTTTCTCTTGCAGAATGGCTGATGGGTTTGAATTGCCAACCTTTCAGTTAGCAGCTGAGCACTCACCCACTGCACCACTAAGGCTCCTCCTGAGTCACTGTAGAAAGTCATAAATGACCCATTTTGAATGGATTTCACAATATGTCACATAAGACATATTTTAACCTATGCCACTAATTGCAGAGGAAACAGATTTAATAGTTCATGTCATGATTTCTGGACAAGGAATAGAAATCAAGGTAAGTGAGAAGCAGTAAAACTGTACTGTCACTTCTGTTGTGCCAACTAAAGAACATGGCAGACTGAAGGAAAACCTGTCCTTTTTAACAAGCTTCCATCAAATCTTGCTCTAAAACAAAAGCAACAACGCATGAATTTCTTTTCACATCATATATAGACTTTCCATTTTGTATCTTTTGAGAAAACAGAATTTGTTTTTACTGGGTGCTAGGATCATGTGATTTATCATTGTAAGGATCCAGAAATCTAAAGTTTTTATTTTTAAAGATGACTTTTGAGTATTAAAAATGATCATTAACTTAGTAATGGGATTGCTTCTATGATCATTTGTGACTGGATTTTTGTAACTTAGTTAGTCTTGGGGTCTCTATCAAAATAGTTTAAAATACAATAAGCAATTTGTAGAAAATACTATTCATAAGAGACCATTTCCATTGTTGCTTTACTTTTAAAATATCAGTTTCAAGCATTCCACTCTCTGATC